TCAAAGCAAGTTTTATTTTTCATTTGATTTTTTTTTTTTTTTTAGGTTTGCATGCATGAAAAGTTACACTTTCATTAACTGCTCATTTGAGAGGCAAGATATCTGCTGAAGTAATCATATGCTCTATCAAGGTTTAAAATCGAGCAATGAACAGATTTTTGGGCTGGTAACAGATTTGTGCAGAGTAGGATGGCAAGATACTAATGGCAGGGTCTGCCATGCAGGGGCTGCTGGGCTGGCACGATCTGCAAGTGAGTTGAGAAGTGATTCAGTGGTTAAATTTAATACCTACTCTCCATGTGTTTGAAAAGTGGTAGCTTAAAGTGGTAGCTTAAAGTTGGTTCTGAGAGAAAAATAATAATCAGATTGGAAAAAAAGTGTGTGAATATGGAGGTAAAGGAAAAGCACACTGTCACTACCCTTAATGTCCTTATATGCTGTGAGGAAATAAAATCTCTCCAGGGTAGGTAACAGATAAAAATAGAGGGACAGAGGGAGTGAGAGATCTCAATACATATATACATATATATACTTGTAGAGAGATTAATTATAGTAATAACACTAATGTCTTCCTATATAAATTGTCTGCTGTAGCTGATTTTAAAATACCTCTGTGGACCCAATTCAGTCTAGATTAATTTGACTTAATTCTAGGCACTAATATGAGCACCTGAAAGTAGAAACTGAATGGTTCATGTGCTTCCTGTATACTCTTCTGATAAAGCATATCAATCAATCTAAGATAAAAAAAGCCTTCAAGAGCAGTTCCCCATGTCTAGTGAATTCAGGACAACCCAAGGCAACTTGGCTATGAACACAGATCCCTATTAAGTGCCAAGACTTCAGGGGTATGGATCTAGGCTTCCTTTTTGCTATCCTCCTTCACTGTCTTTCGTATGCTTCTCTACAGAGAAAACTGTGGTACTTGCTTTCCTTTCTAAGTATTTGAGATCTCAAAGATCAGAAGCTCTAATTTTCTGGATGCACAATGATTTTTTTGTTTCATGATGGCTTCATGAAAATAGGATAGCTTAAAAAGGTGAATTACTGTTATGGCATCTGATAGCTATTCTTTATGTAGAAGTTGCATTCAGCTATATTACCTGAATAAAATAGCTTTAGTCTATAAAAGGAATCATAGAATCACAGAATTGTTTGAGTTGGGAGAGAGATTTTTAAAGTCATTTAGTTCAATCCCCCTGCACTAGACCAGGTTGCTCCAAGTCCCATCCAGTCTGGTCTTGAACACATCCAGTGATGGGGCATGGAATAAAGAAAGGAGACAAATCAGAATGAATAGAAGGTTTGTTCTAATTGTTTGAAGTTGATTGGAAAGCAATATATCCCTTATTCCGTGCACATTTCTGTACAAGTCTGTCTGCATAGGTAACCAAAAATATTTAGAGTCAGTTTCAATAACCTTGAACATGTAAAACTTGTATTTTCTTGCTGAAAGTGTTTTATAAACCAGAAGAGAGGTTGCAATAAAACAAGTATTTCATATTTGAGAACCAAGAGGTAAAAAAAGGTGCATTCAACATTTTTCTCTGTACTCTCCTCAATAATGAAGTGCTATCTTAAGTAAAAATGTTATAAATGTTATATTTTAATGTGAAAACGTTAAATAAGATTATCATTGTAGAACACATTGTTATCCCATTTTGACATCATGTGCTATTTAATTTCTGGTAGCATGAAAGAAGCAACATTATAGTGTAGTAGGAATGAAACCAGCACTACATACAGTGAACAGTCATATGATATGAATTTCCTAGAAATTATCAGTGGAATATTTTTAAAACAAATAACTTGCTGAAATTTACATAGCCTGAATTTGCTCTTCTGCACTAACTTCTATCAATATGTACAGACAAAGGTTATCTGAATAAGTAAAATCTTATTTCAGCATTCCTATTAAATATATTTCAGCTTTCCTATCGAACAAAACATTTAAAAGAACATTTTCTTATTTGTGTGATTTTACACTTTTCTTATTTGTGTGCTTTAGTCTAGTAAGTCTGAACTTTAAAGCATCGTTCCTTAGATAAGTGCATGTGCTACAGATAGGACTAAACTCAAGAATGGTTTTGGAAGACAAAAGCATGTGTGCATGCAGTTATTAAATAGGTAGGGAGGTTATAATGTGGATTTTGTGCAGGGAAATTCGTGTGCACAATTTTTACAGGTATGAACTGAGCCTAACTTTGGACATGCTTCTCCAGCTGCCATTATTTGAAGAGTATAAAGAGTATATCTGCTTTTTGCATTGCTTTTGCCATTTTGTTCTTTAATGAACAGTGAAAGTTTCAAAGCCTAGCTCACGTAGCAAATACATTAAAAACTGTCTTTACTATTTAGCTATAATAAAGCTACTTGTTCATTAAATCAGTAAGAATGTTTTGTTTGATATATTAATGAGGGAATGTGGATTTGTTTCTGGTTTTCAGTTGGCATGTTATCTTTCTATGAAAAACGGGAACTCTCAACTTTCTTAGGCTGAAGAAACTAAAGAACTGAAAAAAACTAATGCCATAGAAATCATTAATGTTTGGAAAGAGATAGATTTTCACACATTTTCCCTGTATATTTTAAAGTATAGATTTTTTTTCCAGCCTGGATAACGGTAGATAGAAGCGTGAAGAAAAAAATTAAAAACCTGGAAGTGACTCATGAATGCTGTAGCATTTTAATCAGCATAGTTGGCATATTTTAAGGAAATTTATGGTGATCTTAATTTTTTTATTTTTTATATCTATAAGACACTACAGAAGTTGAGCGTGAAGGGTGTTATACTGAACCTTTTCATTAACAGAAAGACATCATCACCCCATTGCAGTCTTCTACATTCTCACCAAACCATGTAAATGCAATTAAAATATCTGTTGCTAAGGATATATAAACATTGTGATAAGCATCACTTTGTCTGGCCTTTTTCTCTAGCCTCACATTTATTATGCATGCTCATTTAGCTTCCAGAAAAGCTTGTAGATGTCTCTTTAGGTAGCCAGATGTTTTACAGATGGGTGCTTAGAGAACTCATATCCATTTAAGTCCTTTTCTGTCTAAAGAAAAGCCCATTTAAATCCCATACAGCTATTTGAATATAAAATACAAGTGAGCTTTCAACAATATTTATTCTCAGATTGATTATTTTGCCAATTAAGTACCTAGTGTTTACTTGCAATTGACAAAAAAAAATTGGCTTTATATTTACAGCATTACATTTTTATAGAGACTATAGTGACTATATAAAAAACTATAAAAGATTAATCCCTTAAAACATAGTGGAAAGGCTTTAGAATCTGTGCAAAATAAACCCTGGATGTTCTTATGCGAAATTATTATGGGACTCAAGAACTTAGCTACACCTTCCTTTGATTAGGAAGACAATTTCTTAATTCTGAAACTATTTTGTTCCAATGTCATCTGTAAAGGCAGGATTTTCAGTACTTCCTCTTTGCACCTCAGGATGTCTTCTTATAGAAGAGAGCTGAGACTTTCTTACAGTCTATCTTGTGAGTTCAGATTCTGGCCCTTTAAAACTATTAAACACCGTAAGGTCAATGTAAAGTTAGTTGAGAGTTTTGTCAGTAGCATTTAGACTGGAAATTTCACAAAGATGGTAGTGGTTTGTGAGTTTTATGAGATAATCTATTAAAAAAAAATGAATCATAGAATCATATTATAGTTTGCCATATAAACCAATACACAATGGACATTTTGAGACTGGAGGTGGCACTGAAATCATCTGGATAACACTGCAATCATCTTCCTGAGCTGAGTGCTAGCAACAACATATCTTTGACTGGAGAAAGGACAAGGCCCTAAATTTTGTGAAGATTTATCCAAATAGTTTATGTGATTATATCTCTTTAAAGGTTGCTCATTTTTTTGTTTATCTAAACTGTATCTTCTGATGCCAAATTTCCCCCAAACAGCTGAAAGTTATCACTGCACTGTAGCAGAAGTATGTGAAACTGTAGGCATAATATTGTTTTAATGGACTATTCTAATATTGTGCTCTTATAAATATTGAAGTGAATAAAACTTTATTTTAAGGATGCAGAGTACCAAATTTTGATGAAATTAAATATATATCTTCAACATCGTAGAAGTGACAATTAGGCATGTTCTCTCCTTACATTTCTATAGCTGGTATAACTCTTAAATCAGAATAAGTCAGTGATTTCATTAAATTAGTCTGGAATACTATATAAGTTATGTTTAATGCTTACAGTACTTAAAAATGGATACACACATTCACATTTTTGATCAGATAAATTACTTACTCCCAATATATAAATACAGATTGTAAGTTTCTTTAGCTGTTTTATTGAACTTTCACATTTAAAACTCCACCTGGGAAAAATGCATTGCTATCTCTCATTGTTTTAGGGCTGCACTCAACTATAAGCCTTGAATATGTACATTGGCATTCTTGTTCACCTAAAGAAGAGGTCACTAAGATCATCGTGTTCCCCACTTAGGCCGCTCACTATCAGTAATATTTGCCCTGAAGGATTAGTTATACCATACTCAAAGTAAGATATGCTGTTGGATGTGCAACATCAATCTCACACACTTTCCAAAGGCCAATTTCACAATAAAAAACCACTAAAAATCCTAACCTGATACAGTGAATTCACATCCATTAACTAACCAAGGGAAAATTTGCAGTATTCTGGAGTCACTAAAGTTTTATAAAAAATTATTTCCTTGGGTCAAAGAGTTGTAGAAACAGAAGTCATGCTGATTGTGTCATGCATGCCCTTGCAGATTGTTGACTTTCCAGTTTATTGTTATTTGTACTTATGAGATGATATCCGGATCACTGGACCATCACTGCTGTTCTCTATTCTTTGCAGCCACAGAAGCAGATAGATGCCCTTTCCCTGTGAGTTCAAAATGAACACATCATTTGTCTTTCCTGCAAAGGTTAGGTATTTTTATCTCCTATATTTCTTTTTGAGCTTTCATTCTCTGTCTCTTGTATTCTGCAGACACTGTAGAAGATGAAATGGAAATGGCCACAGTACGACATAGACCTGAAGCTCTTGAACTGCTGGAAGCACAGAGTAAATTCACAAAGAAGGAACTTCAGATCTTATATAGAGGTTTCAAGAATGTAAGCACTTCCTTTTTGAATTTACCATCCATTTACAGGATAGGCCACTGCAATCTCAGCTCTGTAAGTGTGACTGGCAGTGCAGCTCATGGGGTTCAGTAACTAAATACTGTATATCTATTCAGGTGAAGAAACAATCTCTCTGTGACAACTGGGCTATTTAATGACCAGAAGATACACAAGAAATAAAAAGCATCCATAAGAGAATTATAACTTAGTATAATAAGACATTGTTCAAAGACATATTGAAAGTTACATTAAGGTGGTTTGTCCACAGGTGCAATAATGGGAGAGTCCTGAAGAATTTCGTCACTTAAGAGGAAAGATTTTGATTTTTGTATTCACAGTAGCTGTCACAAAAAGTAATTGATGTCAATTGGACTAGAGGAATTTTTCATTCTGTGAACAGCAATAGATGACTTCTTAAGTTCTTACTAGTTCTACAAATCTATAAACATTTTAGATCACTTTACTGGCAGTAATTATTTGTGATTTTTTTTTGCTGATCTGTGTGATCAAAAACATTGGTAGGTCCAATGGTTTTAGTCAGCAGGCATCCCACCTAAGACCCCAGTACATGGGTGTAGTGTGACTCCTTTTCCAATGTCTATTAGCTGCCCTGTGGAGCTGGGCTTGTTGTTGGCATGTAAGGCATGCATGGTTAGTACAGCAGAGAAATAAGACTCAAAAAGATTTTAGTAAGTAGCATTAAAATCTGTTTACTTTAAAAAAAATTTTAAATTTTTTATTCTACTGTCTTTTGTGTGATTAACAATTATGTAGGATATTGCATGCAGCTAACATTGGATAGAAAATACTTGATATTAAAAAAATTAATAATAACAATTGCTTGAAAATCATCTGTGTTTAATGTTAATCTACATACTCAGCTGTGAGTATTGCAACTGCACAGATGTTTTCTCCTGCTGAACTGAAGGTAAAGGTGAATTTAATTGTGTTTATCACTTTGTAGTTTAGTTTCTCTCTCACCCTTGTGTGAAAAGGGCTACCTTCTTGGCCTTGGCATTTACTACTCAAATGACGCTGCGTAACAAAGTATAATAATGATAAAAACACAGTGAAGCTCAACTATGGAATCAGAGAGGGTATTTTCAATAGCTTATACAAGAAGTGTAAATCTTGCAGAATTCTTAGATGTCGTGCATTTTGTAAAGAGAGCAAGCCATGCAAAGGGATGGGTTAGACATACATTCTTATCGAAAGCTTACAATGCAGGTAAGGCAGAGTCACTTAATGTGTCATGTCTATATATCATCCTCGGTTCCAGAGGGTATATAATGTTGGCATGTTAGTGATTAACAGTGATTGCTCTTAAAAGCTTTTCATTTCCTCGGGGTACCAGAGAACATTCCCCTGTTAATGACAGTATTCCCTAGGCATTGCAAATCATGATCAAATGTCCCTAATTCCCTAAGGCAAAAAGGTGCAAAGTATAGTGAATAAAATAAGCCTTCTGTCTGTTTCTCTAAGAATAATTATTTTTAGAGTCTCAGAATTGAAAAACTGATAATTCTCTGCATAAAATGAGGTATGGAGAAAGAGAATGGGTTGTAAGGAAGTATTTTAATCGATACCCATTTTAGCATTTTTTGAAAAGAGGAATTCCAGCTCTTCATATGCTTCTGTGTTCTAAGAGTGTGCAAGTTCTACTTATAGCAAAGGAGTGTCAATGGTAAGACATGGTAATACATCTTTATTCATGTGTTCCATTACCTTATCAGTACATGATAATTTAAGACATGCATGTATGACATATCTTTGACTATTTAGAGTTAATGAACATGAACTTCAGGCATTTTGTGTGTAATATCATTGCAAAATTATCAGTTACTTTCTAAAATGCTGTAAAGCATGCCCAGGGCTAGTGATTGTTATGAAAGTAAATCAATTTGATGTAGTATTCTTTAGCCCAAGCATTAGACTTCAGAAATGAAGGATTTGAAACTTTTGGTTGAGTTGGAGTTTGTTTTGTGTCTCATATTTATCAGTTACTACTGCAAAATTTGGTACTAGATCAGAGTTCTCCAATCACTTCAGAGAACTGATAGAACAGATCCACCTCAGCTCTATGAGCAGCTTACCTATGCTGCACCTTTCCTGTCACATATCTACATTTTATCAAATACAATTTGAGTGGTTTTGGTGCATACTGATCCACAACATGGTCTGCACTTAGACTGTCTCCCCCTTACAGTGGTTGATCATCCACTTCTGCCTGCCACATCCCACCTCCCTCCTCGATCCCCTTCTTTCTGATCCAGATTAATGCTATCCTGTTGATATCTCCACCCCTGTGTGCTTCCTGTGTCTGCTTCATGTACCAATATATGCTGGGGGACAACCAGCTGGAAAGCCATTCTGCTTTGTTGGGCATAAGTCAGCAAATGTGTCTGTGCAGCAAAGGCAGCAAATGGCACCATGTCCTACTGACGGCAAAGCATTGCCAGGAGGTCGGGGAGCACTGGGAGGCCACACCAGCCCTCCACTCAGCACTGGTGAGGCCACATCTGAAGTGTTGTGGCCTGTTCTTGGCTCCCCAGTAGAAGAAAGATATGGACATACTGGAGAGAGTCCAGCAAAGGGTCACAAACATGTCCAAGGGACTGGAGCACCTCTCCTATGATGAAAGGCTGGGAGAGCTGGGACTGACCAGTCTGGAGAAGAGAAGGTTCAGCAGGGATCTTACCAGCATATATTAGTACCTGAAGGGTGGGTGTAAAGAAGATGGAACCAGGCTTTTTTCAGTAATGCTCAGTGCCAGGACCAGAGGGAATGGGCACAGTCTGAGACACAGGTGGTTCCTTAACATCAGGAAACACTGTGATGGTGACAGCACCAGCACAGGTTGCCCACTGGGGTTGTGTCATCTTCCTGCTTGAAGATATCCAAAAGTTGTCTGGACATGGACCTGGAAAACCTGCTCCAGGTGGGCCTGCATGAGCAGGAGTGTGGAACCATAAATCTCTAGAGGTCTCTTCCAGCCCCAGCCATTCTGTGAGTCTGTGATATTCTTTTTGGTCATTACATTAAGAAGAAAACTCCACTGAAAAGATTTAGTGAAACACCCAGACACACACACATCTTTAATGTGACACCATCAAAAATGTGCAGATCCTACCTCTATGCTTTATGCTTTTCATTTAGCTTTTCTTATTAGCTCTTCAATAGTTTAACTATATAAAGAAAGATAAATTAAGGCATGAATTGAAGTTACTGTAGTTCTGCTGATGTAATTGTCCTGTTAGACCAAATTTACAATGTCCTACAACACGGTAGTACTAACTGAAAAGTTTTTGGTTATATAATCTCACTCCAACCTGCTTATTTCTCTGAATCCTGTTGAGTTCTAGGATGGCTGTTCTGAGATAGGGTTGAACAGAACTTTTCACAGTTTACCTCCAGTTATTTATTATTTATGACTTCAAATTTCTCAAATATATTATGACTGACTTCAGATGAGAAAGCAACAACTACTCTGTATTTCAAATACTCTGTGATTACAAAGTTTGATTTCTCATGTGTTTTTTACTTATACAAAAATAAAGTGGTAAATCTTTAAAGGTATTTCCATCAATTTGATTTTCCAGTGTAGGCAACTTACAAGCAAAATCCAGGCTGAAGGAGCACAGGGTCTCAGAGAGCATCTCTGTGTAAATGTTAATGCCTGAAAGCTTTAGAAAGTCTCGGATCACACTGTAGGATAGCTGATGCTATGAGGAAGCAAGAGGTAGAGTATAACTGCAGGGAATGCCCAAAGACAACTGAAATGCCTATTGGGACAATGGCTGTTTTGGTAGAACTCAAGGTCAGCATTTAAAATAAAAGGGGAGATACACTAAGGAAATTTAAGGAGTTTGGAAAAGCACCTTCAGATGACCCAGAAAATATTATAAAGAAAATTGTCAAGGGAGAACTTATGTCTGTATTAGGTAATTTAGCCATTTTAAAGCTTCTATACTGTCCTTGAAAAATGAGCATAACAGAAGTCCTAAGCCCTCCTCAGACTCGAAAGGTTGTCCCCAGCACTCTGGTTTTAGAATGTTCCTGTGCTCTTGTTGATGAATTGTTGCTCAGCTGCCATCACAGTGGGACCTCTCTCCATTTTGTATTTGGCTTCCTGTCATCCCCTTTCTTGTAAATTGAAATTGTGATTGCTGCAGTCATTAACCTTTCAAACCAATGGCTCTGCAGCAGGCCTAGTACAAGTGGTACTTCACAATAAATTGTACAGACTATCAAGCATGCACTCAACATGTGGTCTTTCTTTCTCTTTTGTCCATTGATAGATCTCTCACAGTTTTACAAACATGCTGAGTTATAGCACATTTCCATTTTAAAAATACTTAGATAATGTTTTGCTGCACAAAAGATGCTCCTGTGCTAAACTTAGATGTTAATAATATTTTTATTTTCGTTGATTATTCTCATAAAAATTTTCGTAGAACTCTGTATTGGGAAACTACTAGACTTTGCAAGAAAACTGAAAGGATTTTTCATGAACATTTATCTTACCCGGCTGTATATCAGAGAAAATGTAAATTAAAGTCATGCATGTATAAAAACATCCTTGGAAAAATACTGTAGCTTTAAATACGCTTTTCCATACTTGTGACATTTATTGGGAAAACAACAGTTTTAAGATAACTTTCTTCCCTTTTGCAAATGAGGCAAACAATAATAAGAAAATGTTACAGCTCCAAGATCGGTTCGTTCATCACACTACCCATCATGTCCATAACTCAAAATATGCTAATTTATTCCAAGATTTTCCATTTCAGTTATGGTTTGATGGAAGCATTGTATAGCTGTATGTTGTATTTGTAAGTCTCACAGAGAGTTTAATGAAAGCTAGTTTTAAAAGTGATAAAGCTCATTTATTGAGAGGTGATAAAGCTCATTTTTGAATGTCTAAAGCATTTAAGTTTTGTATGATAAAATACAACTCTCATTGTCCTTTTATGTGAAATTCTTTGCCTTCT